CAATAGCTAACGAATTAATCCTGGGTTTAACTCAGGTTAGGGGGCGAGATGTCTGGGCACGTTTCCTTTCACCTAATACCTCTGTTCTCTTAGCAGTAAATAAGTACCTGTGAGTTCATCAAATACGATGGGTCGCATCCTAGAAGATGGCTAGTAGTAGGCTAGGAGGACCTCTCTGAACCTAATACTCTCTCTCTCCACAACAATGTTAGGTATATATGAGGGAATTATATACAATAAAGTAGTGGAAGAGGTGATTAACACAGCCCTGCGGTCCATAGAGATACTGGTCTGTTAGCCTGTGTGTGTGTAATGATGGGACGGTGTGATCAGTATGCGTGTAAGATGGAGTGTGTTAGGTGTACACGAAGGGTGTAAATTATTGGAATCGTAGGTGGCATATTAAAGAATGTAATGGTCAGGTGGGGAGCTGTGGCATTTTCTTACGCGCGCACGTGTGCGTGTATGTGTGTGTGTGTGTGTGTGTGTGTGTGTGTGTGTGTGTGTGTGTGTGTGTGTGTGTGTGTGTGTGTGTGTGTGTGTGTGTGTGTGTGTACTCACCTATTTATGCCTGTAGGGGTTGAGCTTTGGCTCTTTGGTCACTATCCACTGCGGCTCGCAGTAGACTAAGGCGCGTCTGGGATCATCCCGGACGTAGGTTCGAACCCTCATCACGGCCCTTGTGGATTTGTTCGAGGTCTAGATCTTTATGCCCCGCCTACTAACCTTGTTGTTCCTGTTGCATTACAATTAACCTGTCCTAACGTTCGAATTCCTTGTTGAAACTAACCTTAAAGTTATAGATGTAGGTGGCTTCCACAACTTCTTTCAGTGCATTTGATAACTACTCTTTTTTGCAATTAAATCTTCCACTTATGTCCTCTTGTACTAATTCCTCTTAATTTAATGAGATTGCCATTGTGCAACTTATCTATTTCCTTTAGTATCTTGTATATTGTTATCATATCTCTTTTTTTTCTTCTGTCTTCAAGTATTGCGATATTTAGTTCCATTAGCCTGTCCTCATGGTTTAACCTTCCTTGCTCTGGTACCAATCTAGTTGCAAACCTCTGTATTTTGTCGTTTTAGTATTATGTTTCATAAATTCTGGATTCCATGCCGATGGTGCATATTCCACTATTGTTGTAAAAAATGTTGTGTACATTGCCTTGAAGGAGTCGCTGATTTAGGTTTCTAAATTATGTTCTAATGTTTTCGAGCATTATATATGTGGTCAGTGTTTACGCTATATATATATGACTGCCTCCAGTGTTATTATTGGAATTATATCAACTCCCAAGATCTTTGTTTCAAATTCCTGTAGTTGCCTTTTCATTAAGGTGTAGTGACCTTAATGAAAAGAGACCTCGTGGTCTCTTTTCTCCATATCTCATCTTTATTACCTTACACTTGTTGAGACTGAATTTCAACAGCCACTTATTTGCCAACCCCAGAAGTTTTGCATCATCTGCAATCATTGACACACACACACATACATAATATATATATGAACTTACTCCCTCAGCAACCCGTCCTCTCGAGCGGTCACAACGTCACCAAAATGTTGTACTAATTTACCTGAATCGAACCAAGACCAACAAATCGAAAACGGGACATCACATCTATTTGCGAGCCACTATGACTTTTAGCATATTTTCTGACCTTACGGGATTTATACGTCAAAATTAGGAACATTAGTGGTCCCAGGACCGAGCCTTGTGGGACTCCCCACTTATTACATTCCACCAGCTTGAAACCTCTCTCTCCCTCCCTCCCTCCCCCTCTCTCTCTCTCTCTCTCTCTCTCTCTCTCTCTCTCTCTCTCTCTCTCTCTCTCTCTCTCTCTCTCTCTCTCTCTCTCTCTCTCTCTCTCTCTCTCTCTCTCTCTCTCTCTCTCTCTCTCTCTCTCTCTCTCTCTCTCTCTCTCTCTCTCTCTCTCTCTCTCTCTCTCTCTCTCTCTCTCTCTCTCTCTCTCTCTCTCTCTCTCTCTCTCTCTCTCTCTCTGACTGTGATTCTTTGCTTTCCAGCCCTCGGAAGCTTCTTTACTAGGTTCAGTGGGCTTCTAGGTATCCCAGCCTGCTTCTCAATCTTGTACACCAACCTTTCATGAGGAACAGTGTTAAATGCCTTTTGATAATCTACGAAAATACCGTTTACCTAGCCATCGTTTTCCTGTCTTATTTTAGTTAGCCTGTCACAGAACACCATAACACTTGTTAAGCACGATTTTTTTTTAATCAGTGCTGCTCTTTTGCTAGAAAGTTGGTCTTCTTCAGGTGCTCCTCCATTCTCAGCCTAATTGCTTTCTTCAGCACTTAACAATAGAATACTTATCAGTGACACTTGTCTGTAATTTAGTTCCTCCTGTTTGTCCACTTTTTTAAATATTAGGGCAATGATAACCAGATCACACACTAGAAGGTGAAGGGACGACGACGTTTCGGTCCGTCCTGGACTATTCTCAAGTGAATCGACTTGAGAATGGTCCAGGACGGACCGAAACGTCGTCGTCCCTTCACCTTCTAGTGTGTGGTCTGGTCATCATACTTTAGCCACGTTATTGTGACTCATCGCCTGCATTAGGACAATATTTACCCTTTTTTTAGAATTATTGGGGATTTTCTGTCATGTGTATTTTATTGAAAATTTTGGTTAATGGGTGACAAAGTACATCTGCAGCCTCTTTCAGCAGCCATAGTGAGATTGTCTGGTCCTATTTAATTTTGATGCCTCTAGTTCCTCTAGGTTTTTCCCTCTTGTACAGTAACTACAATTATATTTATTGTTTCATTCTGCTATTCATTGTGCAACCTTCGTCGTCATGTTGGTTCTGCTGTGAAGACTTCTTGAATTATTTTCTAAAGCTCCTCGCATACCTCCTTATCGTTTTCTGTGAGAATCCTGCTTGTCTCTTCAACCTGATTACATGGTCTTTCGCTGTTGTTTTTCTCCTGATATAGCTGTAGAACAGCTTTGATTGGTCCTTAGCTTCTGCTGCAATGTTTAGTCCAATCGTCTCTTCGTTGCATGCTAATTTAGTTTATCTGCGTATGTCATCATGATGACATATCGTATGTCATCATGATATTTGTGTGAGATGATATGCATGCTGAAGAGAATCTAAACCACCAGCACCATCAACCAGCACCACCATCAATCGGCATCACCATCAACCAGCATCACCATCACCACCAGCACCACCAGCACCACCAGCACCACCACCACCACCACCACCACAAAAACATCTCTTAATGACTCTCACGGGTGGCCTGCCTCCTTGAAGACACTCTCTAAGGAGCGTCTCAGACGCTTGGTTATGTAGTTAGCGCTTGAGCGCTTGCTAGTCGTCGCCCACCACTTGAGTGCTTGTTTAGTCACTTATAGGGGCTCTACAATCACAGTTTAAGGTTCTTCATTCACAGTTAACGTTTCTACATACATGGTAGTAGTCACTACTTAAGTGGCCACTTGAGTGCTATGAAGTGCAACCACTTGAGAGCTACATAGTACTGTAGTCGCCACTTTAGCGGCTACTTGAGTGCGAAGTAGCACTGTCGTAGTCGCTACTTAACGCAAACTGGGGAGGTATTTTGCGGAAGATGATAACGGTTATCTCGTGCCGGGGCCAGATGTGAGGGGTGGGGGAAACAGAGACGGAGTCAATGAGAGGTAGTTAGATAAGAGGGAGATAGGGAGGGGAGGAGAGAGAGAGGGAGGGGGAATAGGGAAGGGAGTGGGAGGGAGAACAGCCAGGAGGGAGGAAGAACAGCCAGGAAGGAGGGAGGGAGGGAGAGCAGCAAATTAAAGAAAGTGGGTTAACGGTAAGAAAACATTTAGCAGTACGAGAGATTCAATGATAAACGAAGAAGAATGAATTAAGATGAATTGGATAACATCACATGAAACCATGAGTCCTGAACCCACAGCTACACAGGTGCCACAGCTACACAGGTGCCACAGCTACACAGGTGCCACAGCCACACAGGTGCCACAGCCACACAGGTGCCACAGCCACACAGGTGCCACAGCCACACAGGTGCCACAGCCACACAGGTGCCACAGTTACACAGGTGCCACAGCTACACAGGTGCCACAGCCACACAGGTGCCACAGCCACACAGGTGCCACAGCCACACAAGTGCCACAGCCACACAGGTGCCACAGCCACACAGGTGCCACAGCCACACAGGTGCCACAGCCTCACAGGTGCCACAGCCTTATAGGTGCCACATCCACACAGGTATCTCACCAAGCCTTCTGGTTGGTGGTCTGGTCAACCAGACTTAGACGGTCGGGGATTGAACGCCGACCTGCGTGAAGCGAGACCATCGCTCTACCGTCCAGCCCATTATTGGGTCGTGAGGTCTAATTCTTTATGCCCCGCCTACTAGCGTGTTTTTGTATGTACCTGTTGCGTTGCAAATTAACTATTCTGACGTTCCAATTCTTTGTCGAATCTGGCCTTAAAGTTGTGGATTGAGGTGGCTTCCACAACTTCTTCTCTCATCAACGGTGGTGAAGAGTGTGTTCGTGGCAGAGAGAGAAGGAACGTTGGTGTTGAGAATGTGGTAATGAAAGAATACCTTTTGACCAGAATCATCATTTTCTGACAACAAAACCATTTTAGCTACAAAATTCATTAGGAAAATATCCGAATCCCAGGTTCGAGCTCCAGGCGGAACAGAAATGGTTGAACGCGTTTCCTTTCCGTTCATCTGAAGGCACTGTTCACCTAGCAGTAAATAGACCCAGAGAATTAGACAATTGTTGCAGGTTGCATCAATCGAGGAAAGTCAATATCTAGTCCTAGAGTGGGGGTGGGGGCTGAGGGGGGGGGGGGAGGATACCGCAATACGTATTTTAATCCACGCTTCAAGTCGCCGAAAATTGGAATCTTTAATCCACGTGGATTAATCCTTCTTATGCTAACTGTATTCATTATCCTGTTTTACCATAGTTAACTGTGAGACCACTGCCCTAACCCCCTGCCTCCCTCCGCAGCCAGCGCGACACAGCAAGCTGGAGAAGGCAGACATCTTGGAGATGACAGTCAAGCATCTTCAGGCGGTTCAGCGCCAGCAACTGGCGCTCGCGGTCGCGCACGACCCCGCTGTGCTGACCAAGTTTCGCAGCGGCTTCACCGAGTGTGCCCAGGAGGTCACTAGGTGAGGATATACTGGGGGTCAGAGGTCACTAGGTGTGGTCATAGGGGTGTGAAAGGTCACTAGCTGAGCTCCCTCGTGTTATAAACACCCATAAGATCCATGATTGTTTTCGAACGACAAAATAAATGAACAGGCCAGTCAGTCTTGGGAACTATAGGAAGAATAAATTTTAGTTTTCTATACCTTTCAGTGCTCTTTATTGCCTCTGAACTAGTTGATAATTCCTCTCTTCCCAATTGCTTTATATAGTATATGTTGAGTAGCAATTAGTGTAATACTTAAAGCTTACAACTTCATTAGTATTGTTAACAACTCGCGTGTCTCTCTCTACAGGTACGTGTCGAGGATAGATGGGGTTGACAACGCTGTTCGTCAGCGCCTTCTGCAGCATCTTGGTCAGTGCGTCACAGGGCTAACTGCCATGACGCCCATGTCGTTCACTGCGATGGCGGGGCTGCCGGTGCCTCTAGCGCACCTGCAGGGCGGCGGCATGCCCCCAGCGCCGCCTCCAACGCTGCAGCAGAACCCCGGCGACATTAACAACAACCAGGCGAGGCTGCTGCATGGCCTCGTCGCCGCCAGACTAGCAGCTGCAGGGGACGCCGCAGGAGCAGCTCTGCTTCTACATGGCGGTTTGTCACTACTGGCGCGCGCCGCGCCCCACACCTCCTCACACGCGCCTCCCCACGCGCCTCCACACGCGCCTCCTACAGCATCTTCCCTTCCGTCCTCGGCTCCACAGTCTCAAGGCGTAACTCAGCCTTCTCAAGTGCTTCAGCCCTCAGTAGTCAAAATAAACGACGGTGCTTCTTCTTCTTCTGGCGAGCGCCTTCCTCGTCCGTCTGCGTTCACAGCTGTGCGACGTGCATTATCTCCGTCCAGGGCGCCGCTGGACGTACACACACGCGCCCCAGAACCGCCGCAGCTGCTGGCACCGACGGCAAGGCGGTTCATTGGAGCTCCCGAAGACCATCCAGAGACAGTCGTCCGCGCCCAAGTGGCCGTCCAGCCTGTAAACCTGACGGTATCCGTCCCTCAGGACGCAGGCGTTCGCGTTCCCCTGGACTACTCCTTCAGGAAACGGACTGTAAACAGGCCAACGCCGACTCACCCTGACCCTAGTATGACCGCACACACTACACCCCAGCACACTAACCTGCTACACACTGAGGTCAAACATAGCTGCAACTCACACTTGACATCCTCGGCGTATACACAGGGCCTCCTGCTTGCAAGCAAGTATCAGCTGTCACACAACACACACGTGGTGCAGGCATTGGTCAGCAAGAGGCCTCGGGAAAAGGAGGAGGAAGAGGAAGATAATATGTCCTGTTCCCGCCCGTCCAAGATTCTCAAGACAGACTTCTCCTCTTCAGCCTGTCCGCCCCTCACACTGCACCTCACGCCGCCGGGACAGGCTTCAGACCCATCACACTCATCTGCCTCACACCTGACGCCTCCCTCACAATCCTCCTCATACCCGTCGCAACACACACCTACCTCACACACCACGACCCCGCCCTCACACACGTCCCCTCCCTCCTCACACCTGACTCCTCCTCCGTCTCTGTCATCCTCACACACGTGCACTGTATCGTCGCCATCTGGACCAACCACGCCGAAGAAGGAGACGGCATCAGACAGTTCGCCTGACAAAGCCGCCAGCTCCGCCACACAGGAGGAAAAGGACATGTGGCGCCCCTGGTGATCTGAACACCTGCTCAAAGCCCCTGGTGCTCTGAACACCTGCCTTAAGCCCCCTGGTGATCTGAACACCTGCCCAAAGCCCCTGGTGATCTAAACACCTGCACAAAACACCTCCCTAATGTCTTGGTGATGATTCTATACGACAAAGAACTCCTGTAACTAACTATTGAGACTTACAAAAGCTTTTGTAATTCTGTAACAACTACGTCTTGTTACAAAACCTAAAATGAAATCCCGGTGGTTCTCTACACGGAGACCGGTAATTAGTAGTCACGGAATATGTTAATTACATGTAGATCTATGAGGCCATCGCTATTATTAAGGTTTAAACCATTTTGAGTGTTTTAAACGAGTGATAAACCAGCTCTCGGTCGTGTGCCAAAGCGTCTCCGTCCTGATCTCAGAGTTTGGAGATAGTGAACAGAACCATATACCAGGACCTCAGTTTCACAGACTTAAGCTGGTCTCTTTCTGTAACCCAAACTCCTGAAAATAGTACATCGAATTTTGACGTATATAATTGCCCCTAGCGGATAGCAAAATTGACGTGATGTCCCGTTTTCTGTTCGTGGGTTCTCGGGTAGGTTAGGTTCGGGCAATTTACTACAACAGTTTAGGGACGTTGGGGACGCTCCAGAGAACGGGCTGCTTCCACAGTTAAACCTTGGGTAACCCCCCCCACCCCCCTCACCGAATAGTATTGATCCGTGGTCATCCATTATAGTGTTTACCAGGATGAAATGTTGATCTGCTAAAAATTGTCAACTACGCTATCGTGGAAATCAACATTTCCACATTTCCTATTGTGGCCATTTCTAGCACAGTGGTAGAGCTTATATGGCCTCACGCTTATGAGGTTCGCGGGTTCGAATCTCCTACTTGCTCAAGTGAATGAAATTGACCTGGTGAATAGTGCGTTAGAAAGTATCCTGATGCGCCTGTCGCATCCAATCCAACAGTTGCTCCGTTTTGATTCCTTGTAATATGGAGTTGAAACACTTTATTAATGGGGTTATACTCGTCAAGTGTTGCACATACAGGTTCAAGGGTGAATATATCGCTGCTGTCATGCAGACTCTGTACCGATTGTGTCTTAGATCTGTCTTAGACTGTCTGACTGTCTTAGATCTGACTGACTGTCTTAGACAATCAGACAGTCAGAATTGTTCGAGGAAAAATGTTCTGAAATTAAAAAAAGGTTAGAAAAATGCAGTAGAATAGGTGAATGAAAGCTGCTTACGTGAAGTCTCAGGGTTAGTTTGTCCTGTGAAAAAAACTTAAATTCGAAACCCTTGATTGACGGTGTGTAGTTTGAGTATTTCAGAGGTCAGTACAGTATTAGCACTATGTGCCCAAGATTACATGTAAATCAAATTATTTTAAATTATTTTAGCTGTAGCATAGCACACTATATTATACAAGAAAAAAATATTTATAAAAATGCCAAAATAGATAAGCTATTAAAACCAAAAAAAAAATATATATATAGTTACTATTGAATATGATTTAATTTATGGAGTATGAGGCAGATGTTAGTAGTTAATTAATTTTTATACATACATACATACATACATACATACATACATACATACATACATACACGCTCACACAACACACACGATGCCACACAAGCATGGCCATTGTCGGCTTGCTAAATGAATTATCAATGAATTTTTAAGTGTCTAACTTAGCACTGCTCTTGTGTTATCATTCACCAAGTTATCGGTTGGATAACAGCCACTGGTATAATGGCTACACTCGCCTCGCAAGAAAGTACGCCTGGATTAACCCGACTCGCCACAGTAATCCCAGAAGTAATTGGGAGCCTGGATGTAAATCGATTTGCAAATCGTGTTCTTGGGAAGACATGACCCCTGGATAACCTAACCGGTTCCAGTACTTGGCTTGAGGCACAAGTACTTGCATTCAACACCAGTCTGTTAACAGTCTCTTGTGTTCTTCTGTATTGTCATATGGTTGTGTTAGTACATGCTGTGTTATGTACTGTGTTGTAAAGGTGTATTATAAAGTACGGTGTTGCCCGGTTGTATTATAAAGAACGGTGTTGCCCGGTTGAATTATAAAGTACGGTGTTGCTAGGTTGTTTTGCCAGATACGGTGTTACGAGATTGTATTATCAAGTACGATGTTCCCAGATTGTATTATTATATACTGTTACCAGATTGTGATATCAGGAATTGTGTTATATCAGAAACAGATTGTTTCTATTGTTTTTTCTGTATAGTCATACAGAATTCAGAGCGCTGGTGTTGTGTTTGTGCGTAGTGCATGCGTACATGCATGTGTTTGTGCGTAGTGCATGCGTGTGTGAGTGGTGGGGGAGCGTCCATGCGTTGGTCACAGGATCATTCTATCTCTGATGTTCCTTAATTGTCTGTCTGTTTCTACAAACTCACAAGTGCCGACTTAATAATACGTACTTAACTCCCTCTCGTCAGCTAGTGCCGGCCATTAACAACAGCCCGAATAGCTACAGAGCGAGTGGGACCGTCTCTTCCATGATTCCATTTAGTGATACAGAAAAAGTGTTTGTTTTTTGCACGTTGGATCGTAAATGAGTAGGGTGTACGAATTTGCTCGGACCAAGAATTTCGCCAAACCACGAATTTGCTCGTGGTTTTGAATGTATGTGTGTGTGTGTGTGTGTGTGTGTGTGTGTGTGTGTGTGTGTGTGTGTGTGTGTGTGTGTGTGTGTGTGTGTGTGTGTGTGTGTGTGTGTGTGTGTGTGTGTGTGTGTGTGTGTGTGTGTGTGTGTGTGTGTGTGTGTGTGTGTGTGTGTGTGTGTGTGTGTGTGTGTGTGTGTGTGTGTGTGTGTGTGTGTCTGTGTGTGTGTGTGTCTGTGTCTGTGTCTGTGTCTGTGTGTGTGTGTGTGTGTGTGTGTGTGTGTGTGTGTGTGTGTGTGTGTGTGTGGTGTGTGTGTGTGTGTGTGTGTGTGTGTGTGTGTGTGTGTGTGTGTGTGTGTGTGTGTAGGGTGTTGCAAGCGAGCGTGTAAATGTAGTTGGAAAGAAGAATTGTACAACAATTATCCTTGTAATGAAAAACAAAGCAAGGTTTGACCTGTGTGTCGCCACTGTCTCGACTCTATCTTAATTGTCTATCGTCATGTCTGTGATATATCGTAATTATGAAATATAATATAAACAATATGACGTGTTTGCCTTATTTCTTAGCCTGTCTCTAACCTGCTACCAACAACAGTCTTTTAGATCAAGTTATCACAAGACAACCCCCGGAACCCCAGGCGTTCTTCGAGAGTTAAACAAACCCCCGTAACCAATTACAGGTAAATACGGGTGAACCATCCATTGGAATTTCGAAGTAATATTTTTTGTTTTAAATTAACTTTAATCGCAAGTTTTCTGTATTCTTGGGTATGTACAGAAAATAAGGGTATGGGGTATAATTTCCGTTGTATATATATATATATATATATATATATATATATATATATATATATATATATATATATATATATATATATATATATATATATATATATATATATATATATATATATATATGTAACATTATACAATGTGTTATTTTACATTATCACATTTGTTAATGTTAACATAAAACATTCGTCTGTAAAAACAAAGACTATCAATTCTAACACAAGAATCGACATGACTAGAAACTGCACAGCAACTAACAGACCGGGTGATTGATCTCTTGATATTATTCGATTTATAATAAAAAAAGTAAATCAAAATATTAATACATCAGAGCGCTATAGTGAAATTATAGCGGCAGTAAAAAATTAATAATTAAACAAATCGAATTGGCAACCGGGCCGACATGAGGATGAGTAAGGGATACAACAATTAACTCACTCACACATACACAGTAGGTCGGGAATCTGTACATCAGTTGAGAGGCAGGACCAAAGAGCCAAAGTTCAACTCCCGCAAGCACAACTAGGTGAGTACTCATAGCGTGAGTATCGGGGATGTATAGGATGAATTAAAGGTTCGAATATCTATTTCTATAAAAGAGTATCGTCTGTCGGTCTAAGACTGAAGACCAGATGCCTTGGGCTAGCCTCATTAAAACTTTGCAGGGTGACTGGTGGTATGGAAGGGACATTCAATAGTAGGTCGTAGTCACATGTGTTTTTATATTTGAAAGATGCAATAAATTTCAAACTTGCTAAATATCAGACTCCATCCTCACTACGATTCACCCTAACAGGCTATTTTCTGCTTGATGATTTAGTGTTGGGAGCCCCAAGAATCTGTGAACTGCTTTTCCCCATGCAAACACCATAAAATAACAACGGGCTCACCATAGCCCGTGCTACTTGGAACTTTTTGTTCAGAGTAGCTGAATCTAAAACAACAACAACCATACAATAAAAATAGCTTGTCTACTGTAGTTTATTGATGAAAACAGTCTTGTGATGTAGTGAGGAAAGTAGTGAATAATGAAGGTGGTTTATAGTGATGAAGACTTAGCACGACCTCTTAGTTGAGCTGACGCGTTAACTGCGCAGCGCCTGCGGAGACGTGCGGGAGAAGCCGCAGAGAAGGTAAGGAAGAGCCTTGAGAGGTCAAGAGCCTTACGTCAAGAGGCTGATCTTGGAACTGGTCGGCCTTAGAACAGTGGGTGTGGTCGTGGCACGGTGTGGTAGTAGCAAGGTGTGGTCGTGGCAGGATATGGTCGTGGCGGGTGTGTACTGTGGGCGAGTATTTTTAATTATCAGGGGAAAGCGCCAATCCATTACGACTATATAGCACTTAGAAGGGGTTAGGATAAGGATTTGGGATGGGGACGGGGGGGGAAAGAAATGGTGCCTAACCCCTAAATAGTAAATAGTAGTAAATAGGTACCTGGGAGTTAGGCAGCTGCTACAGGCTGCTACCTGAGGGTGTGTAACGAAAAGGAGACCTGGTCGAGGACCGGGCCGCGGGGACACTAAGCCCCGAAATCATTTCAGGATCAGAAGATGCTGTTGGATATTTGGGTGACTCCGGGGGGAGGAGGGGGGGGGGGGAATTCAACAAACTAGGAAAGTGGTAATCCTTGCAAAGGTCAATCGTAGGTACAAGAGAGTACAAGAGTGGGTTGGTCTACTTGTATTTAGAGGGCAAATCTTAAAAAAAATAAAAAAACAAGTGTACACAAGTGAACAGTGCAGGATATAAGCTAGTATACCCGAATTATAGAGCGGTTGTTGGTGGATAAAGTTAGATAATGTTAGCTGAGGATTTGGAATGGTTGGCAGCCGAGGGCTCTGTATGATGAAACGGGTGAGGTGTCAGGGAAGTTAGGGGAGAATTGGTGAAGTAATAGTGGGTTTGTTGACAGTAAATTCAGTGTTATAACTTCACTCTCTCACATGTGCTATCAGCTCGTGAAATGAACCAATACTTATACTATGTTACCGCTTGGGAATTTTTGTCTGCATATGTATGTGTGACAGATTCTTTGAGAGCGACTCGCCAGGACACTTTCTGCATTAATTGTCGGTGACCATTCCTCCGTAACCGGCGGGGCGAGACTCTCAGTGCCACGCCCTCTCTCTCTCTCTCTCGAGGTCGCCTCAACCACCATGCCCCCACGCCACAAACTTCCAATTATCGAGACTTTGTACGGCCGCTGGTAATTCTATTTTGTTCCTTCTTGATGGATAATCAGTGATGAGGCTTTCTTCTGTAGGTGTTGACCCAGTAGGCGGCGGCGCCAGAGGCGTGGTCGACGCTACAGTTCCTCCCGAAGTAGAGATGTACCAGTGTCGTGTGGCGGCAGCAGTGTCGGCTATATAAACCCATCGAGAGTCTGCTTCCAGTGTACATTAGCTCACACCTCCACACCGCAGACATGAACGCTCTCGTAAGTGCATCTCCACACTCTTCCTATTGGTTTTGGTGAGACCGAGTGTCGCTGCCGGGGAAACTGGGAACCACAAATATGCACAGCTGTTTTTTCTTGCGTCTTAACCAGAGTGAGAACGTGTTCAGAACAGTTGCTTCAGTACATTTCTTCACAATGACTAGATACTTATTTGCTCAACCATTTTCATCGACTAGCCTGGAGCCAAGATATCATTATTGGAATCAACGTCTTTGAGTGTGTCTCGAAGTGATTCAACTCCTTGTATCGAAGCTCAGTGGCTCATCCAGTCATTTTCAACATTTCTCAAGGAGTTTCACCATGTTAGAGCTGAAACATTACTTGCAGCTTAGATGTAAGTAGAGCTTACATTACTCTTCACATACAAACAATGAGAAGGTATTGAGGCCTGTATAATAGGATCGAACTCGCATTCCGAGACACGAACACACTACCATTCGTACAAACTAAATGCTTTGTAGACATAGCTCGCTGTTGTGATTTTATTTTACATATGTTATTATCTTTCTAGAATGCTAAAAGTATTCATAAGGTACTTAAATTATACCAAAGTTCAGGAGTGATTTTAACAACTCATCTTTCAACCCAAGCTTTAGGCCAACTGCTCACTTATGTAGAGTTTGGAAAGTCAGTATTTAACATGCACATGACAACCACTGGGCAGCGTGGCTCTTTCATACGAAATAACAACGATCAGGTTTTCCTCAAATATAAACTAAGACAGTTATATATTGTGTGTTTAGGTAGGGTATTGGGTGACGTTGATGTAGGGAGTGTTACAATATAGGCTGGAAGTGAGCGTATCACGTTTCGAGTCATATATTCCAGTATAATACAATACTGACATGCTAATTTTAATGTCAGTATTTATCTCTTGCGCGTGAACCCGACGTTCATTTGTTTTGTTTTTGATGATGTGTATATAATGAGTGCAACCTAACTCACACTTATGGAAATGAACGGAAAGTGGCGACGTTTTGGTCCGTCCTGGACCTTAAAGTTTGAACTTAATAAGGTCCAAGAAGGACTGAAACGTTGTTACTTCATTTGTGTGGGTTGGGTTCTTTGTTTTCAGACCCGTTGTTACGTTAAAACCAAGATTATTTTTTAACTGCCTTGATGCTTCCTCAGGTGATCATTGCTCTGGTGGGCGTCACGTGCGCCGCCGCCCTTCCACTGGAAGCTCCAGTCCCAGTCACGGACACTGAGGAAGTGGTGAAAGCCAGAGCTGATTTTGAGGCAGCGTACGCAGCTGCAGCCGCCGCCGCCGCTGCTGACAAGCTCCCAGAAGTTATAGTCCCGGAGGATACTGCTGAAGTAACAGCAGCAAAGGCCGAGTTCAAGGCCGCATTCGATGCCGCAGCAGCTGCTGCTGAAGCCGCTCCGGACAACGATCTGGACGGTAAAATCTCCACCTACACCGGCTTCCTCTCCGGCGTTGACGGCAGACTGTCCCCCTTCTACACCAACACCTTACCCTTCGGAGCCTTCGGCGTCCACGCCCCTGTGCTAGCTGGAGCCCCGGTTATTCCCAGTACTCGGGCGATAGCAGGAGCCCCGCTAATTGCCGGAACCCCATTGATTGCTGGAAATGCGCTGGCTGCTGGAGCTCCTCTGGCATACAGCGGCCTCGGCTTCCCTGGTGCCATCGGATTTCCAGGTCCCGTGGGTTTCCAGGGGGCGCCTTTCATTCAGTTTTCCGACGCTCAATAAACTGAGCCTTGGTACCTTGGACTGGATGGTAGAACGACGGTCTCGCTTCATGCAGGTCGACGTTCCATCCACCGACCGTCCAAGTAGTTGGGCACCATTTCTCCCCCACCCCCCGTCCCATCTCAAAGCCTTATCCTGATTTCTTCCAAGGGGTAAATAGTGGCAAAGCCTTGGCGCTTTCCCCTGATAGTTCCCTTCCCTTCTTTGGTACCTGCTTTCTGTTCGTGTGAGAATTTTGTAACCAAAAGTAATAACTATTAATTTTTAAAACCCAAACATAAAATAAGTAATGCATAATATGTCAGAAATTTCTTCAATTTCCTTCATTGTCGCAAAGAAATTATTTTTGTTCAACTGTTTTTGTACTATTGTTCAACAATTATTTTTGATTGTAATAGAATTTTGACGAAGCTACAGTCAAATAAAATATTCCAGTTAATTATTTATTTTATTTGTATATGCAAGAGTTCTTACGTTCTTATAAAGCCACTAGCACGAATAACGTTTCGGGCAGGTCCTTAATCTTAAACTACATTAGTGTAATCAAAATTAGGCATTTAATTGGTCACTTAAACACTGCCAGCTTAAAATATTGCTGAGATTTGGCTATAATATAATGTTACCATCCATTGAACATGGATGATAAAAATTTTGTAGCTGATGGAAACAGATTTACAAACCAAAATATTTAGTATTTTTTTGGGAAAATCTGCAAAGCCACAGTTGAAGGTGTCCAACATCTCTCACTAATGACTGGTGAGAGATGTTGACTCACTTCCCTTCTGGTGATGCCAGGTGGGATAAGTCACCATTTCCCCACTTTGTGGTGAACTGTGAAATTGGATAGAAGTTGGACTTAAGGCCTACCAACATGTGGAGGGTTTTTAAGGCCGGCACAAAAGCCTAACCAGAGGCTTTTGCTGACCAATCAGCAAATATATTTTAGTCCTAAATATAGTTCAAGAATGATCAACACATCTGGTTCACACCCTGGGTTTGATTTCCAGTCATGATGAAGACATTTGGCCACGCTTGCATTCACCTAATGCACCTGTTCACTCAGCAGTATGTAGATACCCGAGAGCTAGGCAACTGTTGTGGGATGCGATCTGTCTCCGACAATTGAAAACTATTACACATACAGATGTATGTGTAATGTAATGCAGGTAGATTCAGGTATCTCTCTCTTTGCCTTCTCTATACCTTCAGAATAGCCTCGTTCGTGTATTTGACAAAATAATAAACAGATTGGTTATGTATGTTATATTTATGTGTTATATTACATAACATGCGCAATTTTATATGTGTCGCAAACTTCCCAAAATCTAAAGATTTATTTTGAGAAAAATGTGAGAAATTACATTTAAAGTAGTCCCCCCTTTTATATTTTTACTTTTCTGTAACTCAAATAATTTTACGTTTTCTAATTGTCGTGTTGTGGGTAACTTCTATTTTACATAGTTGATGGCCACGTACTATATATAATAATAATAATAATAATTCATTGTGTAGGGGATACAGGCAGCCATTGGATATATACAAAGCCATAGAAAAAAAACAGGATGCATAAATCATTTAAGTGGCCACATACGAAACCTCTACATCATTCCTCAACCATGGCAGCTTAGTTTCCAGTTATTATTAAAAGAAAATAATGAACTACGAGGTTGTCTTAAAGAAATAATAACTTTGGGTTGAGAAGGACCTCGCAGCATTTCCAAGCTTGTAAGCTGTTTAATAAATACAGTCTAAGGCGCCATGATTTGTGAAAGTTGCACAAAGCTCTGAAATGGATACGTAAATACTTGATTCCTGGTCCAAGTACAGAAAGTATGGTGATGGACAGGTACAGTGTGTTAATAGACAGGTACAGTGTGGTAATGGACAGGTACAGTGTGGTAATGGACAGGTACAGTGTGTTAATAGACATGTACAATGTGATAATAGACATGTACAGTGTGATAATATACATGTACAGTGTGGCAATGGACATGTACAGTGTGATAATAGACAGGTACAGTGTGATAATATACATGTACAGTGTGGCAATGGACATGTACAGTGTGATAATAGACAGGTACAGTGTGATAATAGATATGTATAGTGTGATAATAGACAGGTACAGTGTGATAATAGACATGTACAGTGTGATAATAGACATGTACAGTGTGATAATAGACATGTACAGTGTGGCAATGGACATGTACAGTGTGATAATGCACAGTTCCAGTAAGAATGAGAAAACCCCGAGGCAATCAGCGTCGTCATTGAAGAATCACACAGTTGAAATTAGCCAGTATGATAAAGGAACATTTACGTGAACGTCGTCTTGATGCATTACACCTAAGGTGTCATCAGTGATCTCAACACAGCTGATGGGGGGTTCGTCTAATTAACCTAAGCTTCCTAGCATAAGTAATGAAGTATTACGATATATTTACTCACTATAAGGTGGGTGCTGAATGTAGCACGTGGAAAAACATACTTTTACTCTGAAATAATACCATTTTTAACGAAATTGGGTCCATCTAATTACCCGTAGCCACAACATTGTCGCTTGGATCGTCGACTTCCTGTGGCGTCACTTGTCACTTAAGTTTCGTCTAATTTCTTTATAAAATTATATTATTTCAGAGCAGAAATATGTTTTTTATATTCTACATTCATTATCAACATTATAGTGAGTAAATATATCATTATTCTTCATTAATTACGTAATGCTAGGAAGCTTTGGGTAATTAGACGGACCACAGCTGAGTTAGTGATCATAATAAGGAACATACACGCAGACGAAATTGTCTTGCAGAAAATTTCCTCCTGGGAAACAAAATCCTGAGTAATTATTTACACAAAAACGTTGTTTATTATTTCAATAATAATAATAATAATAATAATAATAATAATAATAATAATAATAATAATAATAATAACAATAATAATAATATGGCCAACGTATTAAAAGAGGTTAGCGCCTCTGGTGGTGAGAAGCTTAACTTAATAATAGGCTGACAATTTTAACATTATAGCTTGCTACGGGCGAGTCGGGTGTCCGGTCCCCCTCTTCATAAAGTAAACAAAGGTGCCACTTGACGGCCAGGTAGCGGCCAGCAAGTTAGAGATGGATCAACCGAATATAATTCGGTATAACAGCAATAGTTGGCTAGGAGAGTAAAATATCGCCAGTCGTGCCCTCCTCTAAGTCGAATTACTCACTTTTGCCAGAATACAACACCACAGCAGTTAGCTAACCCTTTCAGATTTAGATTCTGTATTCAGGTAAAGGTACATACATTGCAGATGAGTTACTAACATAATGTTGAATTTAAAGAAAGAGCTAGTACATACAATACCTAAAGTCACTAGTACGCATAGCGTTTCGGGCAAGCGTTTTGTAACTCCAGGGTACTTCTTAACGGCTAGGTTAATGGAGGTATTACGGGAGAGGAAACTTGCTAAATCATCTCGGGAAATGAATCTGGGATCCTCGATTGCAAATCGAAATGTAGGCTATTGTAAAGTGTGCTGAACTCTGGCTAACTGATGGAAAGTGTTAGTTTACATACTTTATTATGCATCCCGTGCCCATCCTTTGGGTAGTAGTGGAAAGGTTACAGAGGCACACAGTGGGCTGAATGGCAAAAATCATTTGGCTAAGCACGTTACAGTCTTGAAAAGCTACTTACCGGTATATGGTTCAATGTAATATCAACATAGCAGTGGTTATACCTTCAATGGGTTTCGTTTTCTTTCAATCTCGTCTCAAGGAGTGGTGACGTGGGAAGGTGAAATTGTTACCGATAACTAAAATAAATGTTTATTTAGGTAAGGTACATACATACAAGAGATTTTACAAAGTTTGTTGGATTAATAGATAGAGCTAGTACAACTGTAGAAGACCTCACTACAAAGGCGGTGGACGGGCATATAGGTCTCTTCCTGCATGTATAGTTTATAACTAATAAAAATATTGATAATAAAATAAACGTATGAACTTGATACAGTAGTTTATAAATTGTTAGATAATGCATATTTAACGAAGCTTGCCAGAAACGCTATGCGTACTAGTGGTTTCAGGTATAATATATACCAGCTTAACCTTAAAATCCAACATTCTGTTTGTAATTCATAATGAATGTATGTACTTTTACCTGAATAAACAGTATTATTATATATTAGTATTATTACGTCACTAAACGTTTCTTGGGAAGCGTAGCCAATTTGATCTATTTATTACTGGTATTTTATAATACTTTCCAGAGTCGCTTATATGTGCTGTGTGTAATAATTATTTTTGTTTATGTTACTACTGCTCGGCTGTTGATAGAGTGGAAAACTAGTTTTTCCGAGATAGATTAGACTCGGCTACAAGTATCTCTGAGAATTTACATTATATGCTAATGCAGCCCTTACCAAATGTAAACAGTGTCAACAAAATTATTCGCACACCCTCCGTCACTATGTGATGGAGTACGAAAAGATACGTGAAATTCAAAGACAATTCTATAACAAATGTTTAGGAGATGTGTAAATATTTCATTAAAAATAATCTACTGCTAGAAATCTTACCCAAATATTCTTAGTTTGCTAACTGTAGGTGGTAAGTAGGTGGTAATTAAGTGATTGTAACCTATCCACCGCTGCCCACTGGATGGGGGGCGGTGTGCAGGACAAACATATCAATTGTGATACTAGTTCTCCACATATGGCAGTTGCTTAATTTAGAAACCTTGCTTGTCGTCGGTCTCGAGCCCATTGTTGATGTGACGATGTGCATTGAATTTTGTAACTTTGCTAAAAGAATTGTGAGGTTCAGTCCCTGAGCCCATTACGTGCCTCTTTAACTCCCACTACCGCCCACAGTATGGGTATGGGGTGCATAATAAATTAACTAAAATAACTGATGATACAATTATTTTAACTGCCACAATATACAGTATTTATTTTTATATGTATATAAGATGTTTGTCCTTCAATATAATAGTTTAAATCTGCCTTTATTATTATTTTTCATTTTTGCTCTGGCATTGGGCTTCTGAATAAAACTTAGAACCTTTATTAATATCCCTAGACACGGCCCTGATGTCTGATGTCTTGTGGTTATTATTTAGCGTCGAGGGCATACGTTCCGGTTTTAGTTTGGTGAACAGTTCAACACTACATAATTACGCGTTCCAGAGGAAGTAACATTTGTAGCTAACCTCTGTGAACATTTGTAGTAACATTTGTAGCTAAACTCTGTGAACATTTGTAGTAACATTTGTAGCTAACCTCGTGTCGAACCTCATTCTGTATCTCATTTCATAAAGATGATAGATTGACTTCAGGCTGTTAGGAAGAGCAATCACGCAGTAGAAATTGAGAGACAGAGATTGAGAGATAGAAATTGTTCCTTGCTGTCTGTGTTTGTCTCGCCCGTCCACTCCTTCCTTCCTGTCCAAT